CTATAAATAAGTTCACTTCTAGAACAGAACACGATTTTGACCTTTAATGCCAGTTTTCGATTGCAACTGCCCTACCACCGTAATTGTAGGGGGGAAATAGTGTTTAATAATAACCTGCCTGGACAATGTGTACAGCAATGTGCCAAACATGAGGGCCTACTAAATGGTATGTCGGTCCAAGTTTAAATAACATTTCGTCATTTCTATCACCTACAGCTACGTCACTGCCTCCCAAGCACTGTCCTGACGCCATGCCCTGGCCCCGGTCTGTAAACATTCTGAGGAGGCGGCACGCAGGCACGTACGCAGGCATGCGTGCACACATGCACGCACGCACGCACGCACATATACACGCACACACACACAAACACACACACACACACACACACACACACATGTGCGAGCACAAAAATGCACGGCCTGAGTTTACGCTAAAGGCAAACGGTGAGAGCAACTCCATGGCAAGACAGACAAACGCAACTACATATCCAGCCCAGACAGTTACAGTAGCCGGGGTGGGGGGAGAGAGAGGCCCTTGTCTCCCAAGATGGATGTACGATGACATCATCTGCGGTAAGTTGGAGGATCGTCTCCACTCTCTCTCTCTCTCTCTCTCTCTCTCTCTCTCTCTCTCTCTCTCTCTCTCTCTCTCTCTTTTGAAGCATGCCTATTCAAATAGAACAGCAACACGTTTATTAAAGGAGAAAGAATTTCTAAAAACCAGGAAGTTTCCTTAACAAAATAGCTCCCGGAATGTCTTACTTGCAAACATGAGCACCACCATTCCACCTTTTAAAAAAACAGTTTTCACCGTGACACAAGTGATCCTGGAGAGGGCTGTTCCCGTCTCTGAATAATTCTTGTGTTTGCCCTGACCATCACAGCCGGCGCCAAACACTGTACTCTACCCTGAACTGTCCTACATCAAAGTTTTCTTTCATTCACTTCTACTCTCACGCGTCGACGATATATTAGAGCGATACAAAAAACAATTTAAGATTGTAGTGACAGCGGGGAAAGAGATCTGTTGAACTTAAGAGATCGCGTGCATATCTAATGAGGCCGGCACACGCTGACCCACAGAGATACATAACGGCTTTATTAAACATGGGGTTTCGGTTACTCGGGCTTTGATGCACATTGGGTACATTGATACTTCCGTGAACGCACTGGGAGACGTAGACTTCAGATTAGCATCACGTCACGGAAACGTGAGAGCGTGACAGTGAAATTGTACAGAGTGAAGGCATGAAAGGAAATTACCAAACACGTGAGTTGGGCCGATAGAAAGAATGTCCGATCGGTCCGGTATTCATAAGAACATTTCGTTTAACCAAAATGCATTATATAATTATGTCCACAGTCCAACATTCATTATACATGTACACATAATACAGCCATGATGCAAAACAGACAGAACAACAGACTGCACACTACACACAACTACACACACACACGCGCAC